ACACACACTCACTCACTCACTCACTCACTCACCCACACACGCGCACACACACACACACACACACACACACACACACACACACTCACTCACTCACTCACTCACATGCACCCACACACGCGCACACACACACACACACACACACACACACACACACACACACATGCACACACATGCACACACATTCACTCACTTACACCCATACACGCAGGTTAAGTGAACATTAATATATTATATGTATGATGACTGTAAGTAGGCTTTTATCTAGTGTATGCATACTTGTTCTATTAAATTCTATTCTTACCTTCTGTATTTTTTTACTGTGTCCCCCACCCCCACCATTTCACCCTGCTCCAGAAATCGACTATAGAGGTGGTTGTACCGTTGCTGGTAGTTGTAATGGAGATCTTCTGTGTGTGAACTCTGTTGGAGTACGGACTCTAGTATAAAAGGAGATAACTCTATGGTGTATCCCTTAATTGCCAGATTGGCCTCTTTGTAGCTTACTAAATTAAGAATGAGACTGTCTTGAGCAGCACAGACACATGTATTATTTTATCAGCAAAACATGTATTTATCATTGAGCCTTTCTCTAACTACTATCAGACCATTTATTGTCAGCATGGCACTACTCTTTTTTGTTTATTGACTTTTTAACCACCTATAGTTCCTGTTTGGCATTTACTCATCGTTTTCTCCCCACTAATAACTTACCTGGCCCTTAGGAGTCTGGCCCGGTCTGGCCAGCGAAAGAAGGAATCGTCTAGTGAAGATATATAATAAGGACAATTTTAACGAGGAGCGTAGGCACTCGGCTGTCAGAGTCTGGGCCGAAAACCCCCTCCCTTCCCTCCCCTTTTCAACACTCACCCCAGCTAGACACCAAGTTCTATAATTAGCATTTGACACACTTCCCCACTTTGTTACAACACAGTGTTCAGTGTTCAGTTCTGAGAACTGAGAAGTACCATGAAATGCATGAAGTACATTTGATGATATAATGATCGGAAACTTGTGTGCTTTGTCCAGCTTTGTATAGCATCTGATTGTAGACTTGATCTGCTTGGGACAGCGTCACTGGAACAGTAGCAATTGACTTTTTGTCATCATACAGGACAGTTCTTATTACATATATTTAACGGGTTCAGTGCACGTCGATTTTTTGTATGGGGATGTAGAAAGTACGAGTAAAGTACTATACTGGAGGCCAGGACCAGCCATTTATTGCTTCTCACTTTCAGTTTGTTTTCTAGCTTAGACTCAAGTAGTGTGTTTCTTTTTCTGTGCCGATCAAGTGAGTTTCTATTAATCTCAGTAACTTCCATCTTACATTATTCATAATGTTGTTTCTTGACGCTACCGCATATTTTAGCTCTTTCACATTATATTACAATGTTTACTGTGGTGTGTGTGTGTGTGAGTGGGGGAGGGGGTAGGGATGGCGAAAGTAGGTGTATAAAATAAGGAGAGAGAGAGAGAGAGAGAGAGAGAGAGAGAGCGAGAGAGCATGTGTGTGTGCGTGCGTGTGTGTGTGTGTGTGTGTGTAGTGTGTGTGTGTGTGTGTGTGTGTGTGTGTGTGTGTGTGTGTGTGTGTGTGAGTATGTGTGTTGTGAAGGAAGGGGGTGAGGGAGGGAAAAATAGTCGACGTGAATGACTGCCGGTCAGTTCTATAAACCACGAGCCGCCACTGATAATAACGATCAATCCACATTGCTGAGATACATCTATGACTAATTAAAACTCAACAATTAATCAACATTGCTGAGATCTAAACCTGTGACTAACAATACATAATAATTAATCTATATTATTGAGATTTAAACGGTGTCAATGGGTTTAATCTTTCACATGAAAACTAAACACGTAAGTGTTGACAATCTCCTTGCAAGTCACCATGAAGCTTACAGAATTATGGGCGACTTTGTAAGCTCTAAACGCTGATGTCACAATGTATCACACAAAACAAAGATTTATTTAAATAAACACATAATAATTTCGAAAAGCATCTTACATACACATCTTAATATGAGGGAAGAAATGGTATAACTCACCTGTAGGCTGTTACTTGAACCAAAAATGAAACAAAATTATTGTTTTAAACGAAGGTGCTGGGCTGGTACTTCTGCGTTTAGAGTTTCAAATCAAGGTGAAATCCAGTTACACGAGTTTAGAATCCGTGACAAAAAGTGCAATTTTCATTTGTTCAATGACTTTAATATTTATAGAGGAGGTGAGGATAGCCCATTGGAGTGAAATAAAACCAAAATATTATTTTCCAAAATTCCGGACTTACGCGTTTAGAGACTTACAGGGACGATATATATATTTATGTATATATATATATATATATATATATATATATATATATATATATATATATATATATATATATATATATCCCTCTGTATCTTTATATAATATAAATATATATAAATATATATATAATAATAATTATTATTATTGTGTTGAGCTATTCTCTGTAAATGGGCTGGGGGGAAAAAGTTTATACAGTTGCAAAAAGAGGAGAGAGGTGTGAAAATACTTTCTGTCAAAGGAAAACTGAATTCTTGTAAATCACAGAAAAAGTTTTTGTTTGTTCGTGCATGGCTTGTTGAGCTAGCTGTGTATATTTCATTATAGTCAGTTGATGGAAAATAGCTTTGTTTACTAGAGTTTGTTTCAAGTGAACTCCTCTGCTGTTCATATTTTGGGGGCAAGAACTAGATCTACATGTGTGTTAGGTATTGAACCTCAAACATATATGTAATTATATGAATCACTTTTTTTTTCTTTTTTTTCCCCTACAGTTGACAACAGTATTACAGTGCCGGCAAGGATAGCCACAACGGGCACTTCCCGGATAGACTACAACTGGACTGTAGCCCCCCAAGGATTTGTAGATAACTACAAGGTGGCCACCCGGTCCAGTCCACAGTCTTGTTTACAAGCACAGGACAGCAAAAATGTGCCAGGGACCTCTACTGGTGTTTCATTTACAGGACTCAGACCTGGGGCAAAATATTTGTCCACTTTGACCCTGGTACTGACCGCGACAGCTGACAGTCCACAGAGATCAAAAGTTGTCAGTTTACCAGAAGCCTGGACGAGTAAGTTATTGTTAAGTTTGCTTCTTGAGATAGTGAAGAGTTCCCGGTAATCAAAAAGAATGTTTTACATGAGACACAGGAGAGAATATATAATAATACATATTATGATCTGTGTCTTAAACCTTTGAGCCCTGACCCCCTGAGGCTACCATGCCCCTCTGCCGGAGCTCCTCAGTGATATATTACTAACAACATTCATGTGATCGTCAGAATCACATTTTATATCCCACTCAGGGTTGTCCTTGTTCCCTTAGATGTAAAAGAAATATTCTTTTTGTGGATCTCAAATTCAATTTTTGTGTGTGGACAAGGTCAACAAAATCTAAATTCCAGTCAATACTTCCACTGCACTAAGCTGCTGGGACATTTCAGTGACCCACTTTCAGCACTTTTCAAGGACCCCCGGGCGACTGTTGAGTTTCTGCGTGCTGTCGGCATCGCTGACCGTTTATGACGTCACAGCGCCAGAAGAAAGAAAGAGAGAGAGAGAGAGAGAGAGAGAGAGAGAGAGAGAGAGAGAGAGAGAGAAAGAGAGAGAGACTGTACTAAGATTTAAAGGTTTTTCATGGAGGAAATAAATTGCAATAGAGTATTAGAAGAAAGAGAATATCCTTTGCCTGGCACGGATTCCTGCTCAACAGCAGCTCTATACTGTTTACAATCTATCCTGGTAGTCCCGATGTCGTTCTAAAACAATGTCAACTTCCAGTTGGTTGTCAGAGTGCTTCATGTATACAGGTGGACATCAGGGCTGTGGTAGTTGGGACAGTACTTTATGTATACATGTGGACATCTGGGCTGTGGTAGTTGGGACAGTACTTTATGTATACATGTGGTAGTTGGGACAGTTATTCATGTATACATGTGGTAGTTGGGACAGTACTTCATGTATACATGTGGACATCTGGGCTGTGGTAGTTGGGACAGTACTTTACGTATACATGTGGTAGTTGGGACAGTACTTTATGTATACATGTGGTAGTTGGGACAGTACTTCATGTATACATGTGGACATCTGGGCTGTGGTAGTTGGGACAGTACTTCGTGTATACATGTGGACATCTGGGCTGTGGTAGTTGGGACAGTACTTCGTGTATACATGTGGACATCTGGGCTGTGGTAGTTGGGACAGTACTTTATGTATACATGTGGACATCTGGGCTGTGGTAGTTGGGAAAGATATATGTTTATGTGGGCACCAAGCACTAGTATTCCCCTGTGTCAAAAAAACACGTCAAGTCTCAGTGATCTCTGGTAAACGCAACACTCATGGGGAAGATATTGGTGAGGATATAGTTGGGGAAAATGGAGACTGAGAAAAGTTGTCTTAACACCTCTTGATGATATCCCAGTCTATCGTGTTTTGAACAAAAGTCAGAAATATTCACAATGCTGTTGCTGCAGTATGTTGTGTGTGACACAGGTAACTTTTTGTTCTGTGGTACCTGTAAATGGAAGTTGTGTTGTCTTAATACCTCGTGATGTGTGAATGGAAGTTGTGTTGTCTTAATACCTCGGGACATGTCTGTTTTCAGAGCCTGCCCAGCCTGGAGCAGTGATACTTGGAAGTAGTACCCTCTCAGTGCCGCGTACTGTCCTCAAGTTTGGACCTTCGGATGGCTGTGTCGCTAATTATTGGGTGACAGTGACACGGCAAGGGTCTGCACCTCAAAGCAAACGAGTGACTAACCATACAGTGGTCTTTGAGAATCTGGTCGCAAATACTTTTTATACCTATACGATTACAGCCTACAATGGCGACAGTAAACCTGGTGACTCAAGGACAGGATCTTTTACAACAGACGGTGCAGGTATGTCATGTTGTTTATGTGTGTTGTTTTTATGTTGTGCACTTTGTTGAGACACAAAGCAGGCCAATATGTTCTAGTTTCTGAAACAATCTCGTCTGATGTTTACTCCTTGGGTGGACACTTACTGTCATAGACACCTCCTGAGGAA